GTGTGCAATATACCTAATTGTAGTTGGTATTTTTTTTATCTACTTTTTTAGCATAACTTATGCTCTCCATGCTCCAACAATACTCAACGCATCCTCCTCCAACACTTGTCACCACCTGCTTCTGGGCTGGATGTCAGCCAGTATCACTCAACCCTTCCTGTGAACCCAGGCTGTCATGGACACTCCCCTGAGGGTGCATCATACCACTGGGATGGGCTCACAGTACTGCTCTAGTAACTGGCACACATACCATTATGTGAGCACTGTCTTTTTTGCAGTAAGGAGTGCAAACAAAAAGAGGAAAGATTTTTTTCTCTGATAGAACCCTTTCTGTATTTAAAGTGTTACTAAACCCAGACCCTGAATTCACTATATTTGGTCTCCTACAGTACACACTACATGGAATTGCAATTGTTTTAGTAAATATAAACTGCTAAATACATTTTCTCATCAGCAGTTAAAGCAGTCTTGTGACTTCTATCAGTGTTCAGCAGAGAGTAGTGGTTAAAACTTGTAGAAGTTTTCTTTCTGCTCTAGGAAGATGCTGATTGGCCCTAAGCGAATTCACATGCATTTTCCCAAGAAAAAACAAAACAAAAACTCTCTAGCAATACACACCAAACTGAGCATGTGCAGAGTGACTCCACATGATATGTCTTATCAGAAGATAAGGGGGGAGGCACCGGAAGAAGGGGAGGATCAGAGAATTCAGGATCAAACAGCGTTTTTACACAATGCAGAGGATTAACCCCTTAGGTTCCACAGTGAGTATAACAAGCATGCTTTACTGGATATACAGACTGATATTACTGTTGTGGGTTTATTAACACTTTACGCAAAATAAAGACACTTTTATGGTTATTTAATAAAACTGATGAGTGCAAAATCTGGTGCAGCTCTGCATAAAAACCAATCATCTTCCAGATTTTATTGTTAAAGCTTCATTGAACAAACTGAAGTTAGATGTTGATTGGCTACCATGCACAGCTGAACCAGATTCTGACTGCACCAGCTTTAGTAAATCTACCCCATACTGCTATAATATCCATGAATAAAAAACTGTTATTGTATGGGACTACAAAAATTCCTACAATGCACCTTAGATTTCTCATTGATTCTGAAAGGAATTAGATATTGTTATGCAGGCCATAGATGGGGAGAAAAAACGGCAGATTTTTCTTTTAAAAAACGAAAATTCGGTCGTTCAAGCGGCCGACGTTACCATCAATGGTAAAAAAAATCGGCCGATTTTCATCCCTTCTACAGCTGGCAAAAAGTGTCCCTGCAGAGAGCTCCGCTATTTCTGACAGTTCTCTGACAGTTCCTTCACATTTACAGCGGTTGAAACATTGTATCTATTTGTTTCCATTTAGGATACAGATGTTTTTATTCGGAAACAAATAGATACAATGTTTCAACCACTGTAAATGTCAAAGAACTGTCAGAGAACTGTCAGAAATAGCGGAGCTCTCTGCAGAGATACTTTTTGCTGGACTGGAATTCTTCTTATTTTCATCCTACTTTTTCTTATTCTTCTTCATCCTCATCCTCTTCTTCTTCATCATCCTCATCCTCTTCTTCTCCTTCTTCATCCTCATCTTCTTCTTCTTCTTCATCCTCATCTTCTTCTTCTTTTTCTTCATCCTCATCCTCTTCTTCTTCATCCTCATCCTCTTCTTCTTCATCATCCTCCTCCTCCTCCTCTTCTTCTTCTTCTTCTTCTTCTTCTTCTTCTTCATCCTCATCCTCTTCTTCTTCTTCATCCTCATCCTCATCCTCATCCTCTTCTTCTTCTTCTTCATCCTCATCCTCTTCTTCTTCCTCTTCTTCATCCTCATCCTCTTTCTTCTTCATCATCCTCATCCTCTTCTTCTTCATCATCATCCTCATCCTCTTCTTCTTCATCCTCATCCTCTTCTTCTTCATCCTCATCTTCTTCTTATTCATCCTCTTCTTCATCCTCATCCTCTTCTTCTTCTTCATCCTCATCCTCTTCTTTCTTCTTCATCCTCTTCTTCCTCTTCATCCTCTTCTTCATCCTCTTCCTCTTCTTCTTTTTCTTCTTTTTGTCTTCCTCTTGCAGGTCACTGCTCATGCGCAGATTTTTTATCGGTAAAAAATCGGCCGATTTGCCCACTAATTGCCGCGAAAATCGGCCGATTTTTTTCCAACTTTACCGAAAAACAAAAACGGCCAAAATACCGAAAAAAACGGCCGACCAAATCGCCCACTAACGATCCGAAAATCGGCCGATTTTATTTTCGGCCGCAAAATCGGCCGATTTTCGACCCATCTATGGCCTGCATTATTGCCATAGTTATGGAAAAATCATACATGTGACAGCACCTTAATCCCCTGTACACAGATGTTTCAGTTCATACCCTTTCTTCATGTGCATGAAACATTGGTGCTGTTTGAGGCTTGGGGTGGTGCCCCAGCCCATGCACTAAGCATCTACAGAACCAAAAACAACTTGTACTGGCACAAAAATATATTTCACTTGAAAACCATGGATTTGGTATATATAAAGGAAGAATTTGAAAGGATTAATTTATAAAGCTGAAAAACTTACTGCCAAAATTTCTAAAGATGCCCAGGGATTGGTCATGGAATGGTATACGTATACATAGAGTATAATGGTAGGCTAGGCGTAGAGTATTTTGCTTAAATATGAGACACAGCAAAAAAACAAAAGAAAACTGTTGTAAAAACAATCTCTATAACTCCGACCCTCATACTTACCCACCCTGAAACTTTGCTACTTGTACTATCCCTGACACTTAACCAACCTTAAAGTTTAATACTGATACTAACCCTCTCTGTAACTCTAACATTCATACTTTCTTCTGTAAACCTTTACATACTCCCTAGCACTGGAGTCCTCTGTTCTGAAGATTGACCTGCCTGTGCTAAAAGATACTGGTAAGTCTCAGTGCTCCAATCTCCTTTTTCGTTACTTAAAACGTGCCCTAGGTTCTATTGGCCCTGGAGAGCGCAGCTCCACTATGGCACTCAGGAGTTAGTGTAGAGGAGCTGCACAGTGGACCTGACCCAGATGAAGCGTGGATGCTTCCATGTGTCTTTGCCTTCATCAACCTGTTCTATGAAAAGTTCAGGTCAGAAGACATGACACTGTTGTGCATAATGCTCAATGGTGGAATCCAATACAACGGATGTATTATTGTTCAGTGATACTGGACATGATATCTCTGGAAATTTCCACTTTTATAAGTAAATTTCATTATTTGCTTGGTAGACATTTCAGGAAGCTTACAACGCAGACAATTTAATCATTGTTAGATTGGATAATTCTCATTTGGAATCATTCGCTTAGTGTGTTTCACCAACTATAAAGTACTGACATAAAAAGTAACAACTTACCATGTGTTGATGTATGCTCACTTGCCCAACCCTCTATAACAGCAGCCTGACCATCAGAACCCAGCAGTGGGCATTTTAAACACGCGTTGTGTCACCTGTCCAAAACAATTGAGCTCCATTTGTAACTAGGAGGACAGAAATGTATACATAATAATGGATATGTTCAGCTACCTGAAAATAAACATTGTTTGCTATGGGCACCAATTAGTTCCAGTCCCGTCTCTTTCTTCCCCTTGTTGATTCATGTATTAAACACTGCATTGCTTCTTTGCAATTGCATAAGGTCTTGTTTATGCTGCAGGAGAGTATTTGTGTAGCAATATAGTAATCCCATTCAGCAATATAAGACATTAAGACATTTGAATATACTGAAATATTTGATTTTTTTAAAGCCATATTGACGGAATGTCTCTTCAGTAAATTCTCAAAAGCACAACTAGGAAGTAGAGAAAACAAATGGAGGTTAAGGAAGATGGGAGAGCCTTTATAGTGTAGTCATTAGTGAGAAAAAAAAGAACATTGATAGCAGTAAATTCAGAAATATTGGGTTCTTTTACTCATATCTCTTAATTTTACCAGGTACCACGTGAATGGTTTTGAATCTGGGAATTCACTTATAAGGAATATATCAGTCTTTACTTAGGGTGTTTGCACTCAATGCTTTAGGGAAAGTTGGCCTTTGTCCCTCGTAAAAGATACATTGGGATGTTTTGGTGTATTTTGGAAGGTTTTGCCACTGCGGGAGTGTGACGGAACCATTCCGCCTGGGCTTCCTTGTGCGGAGCAGTGCGTCTCAGCCAATGGTCCCCTTGTCCTGCAAGTTTTCCAGTGCTCTGTCAAGGCAGGTATTAAAGCTCAAAACCAATCCTTCCCCCAAACCACGAGTCGGAACTTCGTGTAGGGTGAAAATGACTCTTCCTTTATTAAACACAGTTCAGTATATACAGCACATCCTGGCAGTAATCCCCCCCCCTTCAGTCCCACCAGACAGCCTGGCACTGGGTTTTCCCACCCACAACAAACCCTACAACCCAACAATACAGTAGGAACTCTATTAGAAGTGAAAGACTACAAGGTCACATTTCCATAAACAAACAGTGTAGAATGTCTGTGAAACATAAACAGCTTTACAAAGGGGATAAAACAAGAACAGAAAGGGCAAAATGTTATCACAAAGGGACGGTTGGTCATTAAAATTGCACAGAGCTTGAACAGGGCTGAAACAGACCTGAATGGTTTTCTTATAAGTAACTGTGGTTTGGATATTGATCCACTGTAGTATAGCATCAGTTGCAGGCAATTCCATGTTAAGAAATTGTATGTTTGTTTAACCACTTGCTTACCGGGCACTTTCACCCCCTTCCTGCCCAGGCCAATTTTCAGCTTTCAGCGTTGTCACATTTTGAATGACAATTGCGCGGTCATGCAACACTGTACCTAAACAAATTTTTTATCATTTTTTTGGAGACAGATAGAGCTTTCTTTTGGTGGTATTTAATCACCTCTGGGTTTTTTATTTTTTGCTAAACAAACCAAAAACAACTGAAACTTTTGAAAAAGAAAAGTTTTTTTTTCTTAGTTTCTGTTATAAAATTTTGTAAATGAGTAATTTTTCTCCTTCCCTGATGTGCGCCAATGAGGCTGCAATGATGGGCACTGATAGGCTGCACTGATGGGCTCTGATTGGTTGCACTGATGGGCACTGATGAGGAGGCACTGATAGGTGGCACTGATGGGCATTGACAGGCATCACTGGTGGGCATTGACAGGCATCACTGATGTGCACACACTGAAAGGCAGTACTCATATATGGCACTGATGGGCAGCACTGACTGGCACTGACAGGCAGCACTGATGGGCACTGATGAGGAGGCACTGATAGGTGGCACTGATGGGCATTGACAGGCATCACTGGTGGGCATTGGCAGGCTTCACTGATGTGCACGCACTGAAAGGCAGTACTCATATATGGCACTGATGGGCAGCACTGACTGGCACTGATAGGCGGCACTGATGGGCACTGATGAGGAGGCACAGATAGGCATTGACAGGCATCACTGGTGGGCTTTGACAGACATCCCTGATAGGCACTGAAAGGCAGTACTCATATATGACACTGATAGGCAACACTGATAGGCAGCACGGACTGGCACTGATAGGCGGCACTGTTAGGTGGCACTGACTGGAACTGTTAGGTGGCACTGACTGGCACTGATAGGCGGCACTGACTGGCACTGATGGTGGCACTGATTGGCAGCACTCATAGGTGGCACTGACTGGCACTGATAGGTGGCACTGAAATGCAGCTCAGATGGGCACTGATATGTGGCATTGTTGTGCACTGGCAGGCACTGATATGTGGCATTGATGTGCATTGATGGGCACTAACAGGTGGCATTGATGACCACTGATAGGTGGCATTGATGGACACTAAAAGGTGACACTGATGGGGCTACACTGATGTCCCCTCTGAGGAATGCCTATTACCAGCTCTCCTCTCCTTACGAGCTGTCAGCATTACAGCTCGTGAGGACAGAAATGCCGATAACCGGCATTTCCTTATTTACATGTGATTGAACACAGCTGATCACATGACAGAGCCAAAGTTATCGGCTCTTTCTGCTGATCGGTGATCCGCTGTGTTCCAGGGACACAGCACGCCACTGATGGCCATGCTGCGCATCCCTGGGGGCGCACACACGCGGTTAGAGTGGAAAGATGTCATATGTCATCCTCCCAGAACGAGAGAATCACCACCCATCTGTCATTTCCTTATATGGCGGGCGGTAGGTGGTTAAAGTAGATGTGAACTCTCTTTAACTTCTTACATCCATTGATATTTTCGCTACAGTATAGTCTAACCATTATGCCATTGTTTTTGTCCAGCCCATGTTGTTACAAAAAAAACACCCCCCCCCACTGAGGTCCTATCATAACTAATTTTTTAAAAAATAAACATACACATGACACTAGATGGTGGTGGTCTGCCATGCAGGGTTACTCACATTGATAGAGCAGCTCTCTGGGACTTGTATTTCTAAATAGCAGGACTTGGCTGATAAGCAGAGTGTCTGGGACTACATTTCCCAGGAGACGTAGCGTGCGGGAAGGGACATATAAATATCAAAGCCTGGGAGAAATTCCAGATCACAGCAATCTGCTGAATCACATTGATTGGGTGAGAGAAACCCAAGCATCCACTGACAAAATGAACATTGATAGTTTGTCACCTCAGTTATCCACCTACGCATAGTTGTGAACATTTCATATAGTTGCCACAGTTGCAGCCTAGTTACATCAGCGCCATTTCTGGAATACATATGCAGTACAGTTATCATTCAAGTTGACCTCAGGACATACAATTACAGATCAGGATACAGCAGTGCCAACTGAATCAATGAGTTTCTTCCTCTTTCTGCAGAGCAGGACTCCTACTACTGTTCACCTGTTGCCTTTGACATCCAGAGGGAATTATATTTGTCCATAGACATTTATGCCACTTGTTGCTATTCACAACTCCATGCTAAGTTCATTGTTAAAGCCCTTAAAGGGAATCTTGCATTTTTTGGTATTAATCAAGGAAGTGTTGAATCTTTTCCTTTTTCCTCATCATCTGGGAATTGGTCACCCTGAGGAACTAACATCTACCCTTAGACACAGCCTCACGCCAATTGGGCCCCAACAAGAGCTTTGCAGATATTACAAAGCTCTTAAAGGGGACACTGCCTATTATATCTGAAAATTCTCTCTCTCTCTCTCACATTTAATCCTTGTCATCTAGCTTTGAGGACCTACAGTGAGCAGGGGTGGACTGACAACTCATGGGGCCCTGGGCAATAGGGGATCATGGGGCCCCTTTGTCCTTGCCCAAACTCAAAAAAGCCTATGAAAAAGGTACCAGGGGCATCTCATGGGGCCCCCTACCAACCCCGGGCCCTCGGGCAGTGCTCGAGTTTCCAAATAGTCAGTCCGCCCCTGACAGTGAGCTTACCTGTTTCTTGAAAGTTGCTTTCTGCTCAATGAGGATTCAACAGTCCCCTCAAATTGAAGGCAATGGATTATTTATGAAAACAGGCCTGCTAACAGATACTGTTGCTTTATTGTAAATGTTGTTACTTTTGCTCACATTTGCCAATAGTGATCAGATTTGATGCCAATACCAGTATTATTCAGTTACCTCCAAATCCAATATAAACTTCGTTTTGGTTTATACTACTGTGTGTGAGTCCATTTTACAGGTGTGATTCATCTGGGTCACCAGAGCACGGTGGTGTCAGCAGAGGTTGGGCTTTCAACAGGAGGCCCATATTGACAGGGAACCCAGAAATTACTAACCAACCCTTAAGATGGTAGTGCTACATACAGTTGTGTTCAAAATAATAGCAGTGTGTTGAAAAAAGTGAATAAAGCTCAAATTCTTCTAATAGCTTTTATTTCCATACACACAAATGCATTGGGAACACTACACATTTTATTCCAAATCAAAACATGAAGAAAAATATATAAAATTTGTGTTGTTCCTCTAAACAAATTGAAGAAATGTGAATATTAGACTGTTCAAAAAAATAGCAGTGTTTGTATTCTTCTTTACAAACTCAAACATTCACTATATAAACTGAAAAATGTTTGAAGATTTTGCTTTCCTTTGAATCACTTAATGAATATTTAGTTGTATAAGCACTGTTTCTGAGAACTGCTGTACATCTGTGTTGCATGGAGTCAACCAACTTCTGGCACCTGTGATCAGGTATTCCAGCCCAGGATGATTGGACTACATTCCACAGTTCTTCTCTATTTCTTGGTTTTGCCTCAGAAACTGCATTTTTGATGTCACCCCACAAGTTTTCTATTGGATTAAGATCCGGGGATTGGGCTGGCCACTCCATAACGTCAATCTTGTTGGTCTGGAATCAAGATGTTGCACGTTTACTGGTGTGTTTTGGGGTCGTTGTCTTGTTGGAACACCCATTTCAAGGGCATTTCCTCTTCAGCATAAGGCAGCATGACCTCTTCAAGTATTCTGATGTATTCAAACTGATCCATGATCCCTGGTATGCGATAAATAGGCCCAACACCGTAGTATGAGAAACATCCCCATATCATGATGCTTGCGCAACCATGCTTCACTGTCTTCACAGTGTACTGTGGCTTGAATTCAGTGTTTGGGGGTCTTCTGACAAACTGTCTCCGGCTACTAGACCCAAAAAGAACAATCTTACTTTCATCAGTCCACAATATGTTGCGCCATTTCTCTTTAGGCCAGTCAATGTGCTCTTTGGCAAATTGTAACCTCTTCAGCACGTCTTTTTTTTTCAACAATGGGACTTTGCGGCGGCTTCTTGCAGATAGCTTGGCTTCACATAGGCGTCTTCTAATTGTAACAGTACTCACAGGTAACTTTACACCTTCTTTGATCTTCCTGGAGCTGATTGTTGGCTGAGTCCTTGCCATTTTGGCTATTCTTCTATCCATTCGAATGGTAGTTTTTCGCTTTCTTCCACGTCTTTCAGGTTTTGGTTGCCATTTTAAAGCATTTGCGGTCATTTTAGCTGAGCAGCCGATCATTTTCTGCACTTCTTTCCCCTCTCCAATCAACTTTTTAATCAAGGTACGCTGTTCTTCTGAACAATGTCTGGAACGACCCATTTTCCTCAGAATTTCAGAGAGAAATGCACTATAACCAGCATGTACAACATTTGCTGCCTTGCTTCCTTCCTTAAATAAGGGCAATAATTGCCACCTGTTTTTCAAAGAATGAATGACCTCACTAATAGAACTCCACACTGCTATTATTTTGAACATGCCCTTTGCAATTAGTGATTCAATTACACAGAATAAGCAGCATGTATGTCATGACTGTTGGGTCTGTTGGATTTCTATTACTCTACTACACCTGCTAGTAAATTATTTGCCATGTAGAAATATAATTTCTACCAAAAACAGTGATTGATCAGGTTAGTGATGTCTGACTGCTATTATTTTGAACACAACTGTATATATCATTATTCTAGAAGTCTTATGACTGGCCATGACATCATTTTGTTGGCTGGAAGCTAAAAAGAGTGGGAAATTTGAGTGGCGAGTGAAAAACAGTTTTGCTTTTGACTGCTGGTTATTGCTTGTGCTTGTAATTGTTTTATTTTCTTCTTTGGGGTTTTGCTAGAAGCTTTTTCTTTTTTAAATCACCTTTTCTGTCACCTTTTAAATTGCATTTTTTTCTTTCCTTCCTTCAGTCTGCTAATTAAAGGGAGGAGTTAATTGGTCACAGGTGCTCAAGGTAATATATATCTTCCTGTAGCGCTCACTGTGAGCTTGCTCATTCTTGAGCTTGCCTGTATTTTGCTTGCTGTACCTTGACTAAGACAATTGCTGGACAATTGATTAAGTGGAGATAAAAACCGGAGTTTATACCAGGAGTCTTGTGACCTCTAAATAACATCTGATATTTCCTTTTAGTATTAATATTGGTAACTGGGATAATGAGTGTTAGCAGGGTTGAAGGTTTTGTGCAGTGCACAGTGTGCTGCATGTAAGAGATATCATATTACCCCTCTACAAATCATTAGTAATACCTCATCTGGGATATGCTGTTCAGTTTTGGGCACCAATTCACAAAAAAAGATATTGTTGAACTGGAGAAAGTACAGAGAAGGTCAACCAAACTGATAAGAGGCATGGAGGAGCTCCGCTATAAGGAAAGATTAAAGGAACTGAATTTATTCTGTTTTGAGAAGAGGAGATTAAGGGGGGATATGATTAACATGTATAAATACATCAGTGGTTCATATAGTGAACTCGGTGTAGAGCTATTCACCCTGAGGTCATCCCAGAGGACAAGGGAGCACACTTTACATCTGGAGGAAAAGAGATTTCATCTCCAAATACGGAAAGGCTTCTTCACAGTAAGAGCCATGAACATGTGGAATAGACTTCACAAGAGTTGGTTCTGGCCAGCTCAGTAGAACGCTTTAAAAAAGGCCTGGATTCTTTCCTAGATACACATAAGACACTGCTCAAAAAATTTAAAGGAACACTTTGAAAACACCTCAGATCTAAATGGGGAAACATATAATGCTGGATATCTATACTGATATGAACTAGGTAATGTGTTAGGAATGTAAGGATGCCCATTTGTTTGATGGAAATGAAAAATTATCAACCTACAGAGGACTGAATTCAAAGACACCCCAAAAGTGAAAAAATTATGCAGCAGGCTAGTCCATTTTACTGAAATTTCATTGCAGCAACTCAAAATAGTACTCAGTAGTTTGTATGGTCCCCACATGCTTGTATGCATGCCTGACAATGCCGGGGCATGCTCCTAATGAAACAATGGATGGTGTCCTGGGGTGTTTCCTCCCAGATCTGGACCAGGGCATCACTGAGCTCCTGGACAGTCTGAAGTGCAACCTGGAGGCGTTGGATGGACCGAAACATGATATCCCAGAGGTGTTCTATTGGA